TTGCTCGAGCGGGCCCAGTAACGTCTCCATTGGAGATTTTGTTGTTACTGTGTTTGGCATATCGAATACGTCATGGGGAGCTTGCCAGGCTCTGCCGTGCGGGCGAGATACTCTCGGTAGCTTGCCGGGCTCTCCGAGAGGGGCGGAGGAATCGAACTTGGGTTGGCCATGTTGGCTGCGTGCAAGGCAAATGCCCTACCTCTGTGCTATCGCTCTATCTCTAAGACATACATTAGAGATATATTATATTTTCATCCAGGCACAGAATCCTAAGAATGAAAGGATGCCTTTTCTGAATTCCTGGAAGAGGCCCTGCTGCACAGTGGGGTTCTGTTCCCTGGTTAAAGCCCTAGCTGCCACAGGGGGGCAGTCACACTCCATGGTGAAGGCCCAATCTCAGCCTCTCAGTATTATCCTTTACCTCAAATGCACAGAGGAATTTCTATGTCTTATAAAAGAAAACGAGTTGTTTGTACACTTCCAAAAAAAGATTATGTTGTAAAATTACAAATGACAGCTTAAATATTTCCAAAGAGTGTTCCTTTATTTAACTATTCTACATATCAAGCAGATAACTATGATTTTCCTATCTAGACTATCTGGCTAATTCTCATATCCCTTGAGTAAGCCTAAAAATAAAAGAAAAAGAAAAATAGGCAGATAAAGAGATTTCCCTCAAGCTGTTGGCTATAATTTTTGAAGCCTGGAGAAGACAAAGAATTTCTGGAATTTTTTCTACATCAAAGGGAAACTGTAGAAGCAGCACATGTATTTCGGCATATATGCTATTTATAGAGGGTCAATTGAGTAAAAGTCTGGGGAGTGCAACATCGTAAACTATTATTAGCCTCAATTTGAAACTCAGCCCTTTGCTACAGACATGCACAACACTAAGCCATATTCTTTATTTACTTCTAGCAGTTGCTCTTTTTGTTTCTAAAATTAATTACCATTTATACTATTGCTTTAAGCTCTATCTGGTTAAATAAATATGTTTACGTGGTTGTTCTGAACTAAACTAGTCTACCAGAGATTAATCCAAACAGAAAATCAAGACCAGATATGAAATTACTGCTCAAAAGATATGTTAATTTAGACCTGGAATATTTCCATTTCCATTGCTAGAAGCAATGTCTCTTAAAATTTAACATTCTTGTGTTGTATTTTTGTAGTACAGGGAGAAATAACTAGCTTTAAGATAGTAAAATAGAGACTTTTTAGATGATTATGACCCTAACTCAAAAATAGAGAATAAACTACAGGAAGTGAAAGAAGAAATTTAAGTAAAAGACAGAAGAATTTTTCAAGGTTGGTAAGAAGAGTCTTGTCCATGGGATTATTTTTTTGTGGTGGCACAATCTTAGTAGTCTTTGAGTGGGCAAACCATGTACATAGATTACAGTGAAACCAACAGGTGTCCCCCAAAATGTACCTAAATTAGGGAGAAAACTCCAGTAAATGGGAGATTAACTGAGTCATAGCAGTTAATCCAGATCATCAGACACATGACAGTGCAGGTTTTCTGTTGAGAATATACAGTTCATAAAGCTCAAAGATAATATTCCTTTATCAAAATTATGCCTTATTTAGAATACTACATTCTTATAAAGAATTTTAAAGATAATAAATAAAGTTATGATCTCATATATTATTTGTCTATCTTTATACAGAGGATTAGACATGAGTTGACATCAAAACATTTTTTCCCGATTTCTGTTTGTAGAGACAAGTAGAGAAGCATAAAGACCAGGTTGCTATTCAATATGAGAATAAGTAGAGTCAGGTCTGCTTACAGGAGAAATAAAAAGGTTAGTCTGAGTTACTAAGTATTGACAATAGGGAGACATCATTTTTGTGTTTTATGTACCTAAACTGATTTAATTTTTACAACAATCCCTATGAGGAAGATGCCTTCCATAGTTAAAGATAGAGGTAAGAAAAAAATATGCTCATAGATGTTATGTAATGGAGTAATAATTCAAGACAACTTTGTTTAATTTTAGAATTCATCCAAAAGATTTTGAAAAAAACTGAATCCTAGATTTTTACAAAGGAATTTTAAATGACTTGAATAAGAAAATGTGTTGCTTCTCCTTTTCTGTTATTTTTATTATTTTTTTCAATCAGAAGCATGATAGTCATGTACAGAAGTTCAGCGTCTTGAACCATTTTATTTGTATTATGTTTCTTACCAGAAAACAATAGTAGGAAGAGAACTGCTTAAACAGAGCTGGTTGTCAATTTTTTCTTCATTCAGTTGACAACAGAGGGTGCTACGCATTTTCTTGCTTTTCTCACAGAGGCACATTGTTCAATTCCTCTTCTGTTGCATATTGTCATTACCTATATCAACTTTAATGAAGTGAGGTTAATCTTTTTGTTTTAATGAATTTCTGGCATTTGCTGAGTTATATTGCACTGAATTCATATTAACAAGGTGCTTTTAACCCTTTTATATTTGGCTATGAAATAACAGAACTACAGTACTTAGTGATCTCTATACAAAGCATTAGTTTGAATGAAAATTACCTTAGAAGTCTGTTTCTTATCTTCTTTAATGAGTTATTATACACTTTTATGCAGAAAGCAGAAGCACTGTTTATTGAATAATCATCCAAGTAACAAAAACATAGATAAGTTTTTTTTGTCAGTGCCAGGATTAGAACCAAGTAAAGGTAAAGGTAAAGGTAAAGGTCCTCCCGTTGATCATCGATTTGCTCGAGCGGGCCCAGTAACGTCTCCATTGGAGACTTTGTTGTTACTGTGTCTGGCATATTGAATACGTCACGGGGAGCTTGCCAGGCTCTGCCGTGCGGGCGAGATACTCTCGGTAGCTTGCCGGGCTCTCCGAGAGGGGCGGAGGAATCGAACTCGGGTCGGCCATGTTGGCTGCGTGCAAGGCAAACACCCTACTGCTGTTCCTTATCTTTACTTCACTTAATACTTGAAGTGGGACTTTAATTCATACTGTTTTCTAAATGGATCTTTTAAAGGAGGTTTTTACTGAATATATAATCAAATAGTATCTTCATTAAGAGTACTTTATGAATGTGAGTATATGTGTGTTTCTATATACTCTGTACTATAAACACTGTACTATAAACTGTTTATAGTACTATAAACACTGTTTGTAGATATAACATTTATATTATTATATACTATAAATACTGTTCATAGATATATTTATATATCTGTGAATGCAATTATAGAGTGTGAGAAAGAAAAAATCCTGAAACCAATTAGAAACTTTACAGTAAAATGTGATATTAGAAATCAGAAGGAGATTGCATGAGTATTGCATTTGCATCTTGAGGTGGTTTAGGCTGCGAGGACCATAAAACTTTAACTCAAAAATAAGTAAAACAATAGCAAAACATTATTTCAGAAAGGAATTCAAAGGGTTGATCAGTACCTTGTGGTCTAATTCAGAGACTCCTAAGTCATCAAGAAATGAACTTTTGTGGCTGGAGTGATAGCACAGCACATAGGGCATTTGCCTTGCACAGGGCCAACCTGGGTTTGATTCCCAGTATCCTGTCCTATATGGTCCCCTGAGCACCGCCAGGAGGAAATCCTGAATGCAGAGTCAGGAGTAACACCTGAGCATTGCCGAGTATAACCTAAAAAGGAAAAAAAAAAGAGCTTTTCTCTTGTCAGCTCTGCTGTTCTCAGCATTTCTGTCCTCACATTGGTCCCTCCCAATTCCTAATGACAGTGTGCCACAGAGCTTGGACTTTTCCCCATACACACAGCATCAAAAGACCTGGAGAAAGACAATCTTTTATCTTATAGAGAAGCAGAGAAACTTCTAATGCTCCCTTTCTTCATAGCTGACACCCCTCTGCTTTTCTTAGCATTGCACTGTCTCCCAGAGCCAAGTGAATGGAGTCACCTGCTTGGGTGGACTAAGGAGGGACCTGGTCTTTCTTCTGAAGCACAGAGTCAATGCAATAGGACTTATTTAAGCAGCTGTTAGAAATGACAGTTTGGGAGGTAGAAAGCAGTGTCTCCCAAAGTTATCAGCACCCCGCTATACAGATGTATGTAGAGAGCAGATGGAAAAGTACATCTTAGTTTTAACTTTTTTCTTCTTCTTCTTTTTTTTGTGAAGAAAGAGTTTTTACAGAAACTTATTTTTTAAAAATGTGAGGGGATAAAAAGAGAGAAATGTGTATTTAAGAGAGAATACAGGTATCTGCAGATTGGAAATAGGCAAGCAAATAAACACAGAGACGAGCAAGTGAGACACATGTTCAAGGAAGAACATGGGCTTGAAGAGCAGGCGCCAGTTTTTGCTTTCTAGCCAAATAAAAAATATTGATTGAGGTCACATAAAAAGTTCTGTTTATTTAAGTACTGTTAATTTATGTGTTATTAGAGATTATATGTTATTAGTGAGGTAATCTTGTAATTATCATTAACAGTATTGTAAATAAAGCACCTCAATAAAAATGGGCAAAACTCTATTGTTATAGATTATACCAAATTCATTCACATACATTTTTTTCAGTTACTCAAGGCCTTACGTTGACCTGATCTTCTTTGCTTTGGTATGGTTGGTATGGATTTAGCAGGGATGTGGGGATATTAGAGAAGAGTGGAGGTGAGGTATTAGGTAATGCTAAGTTCTTCCTGAATGGTATCTTGGGAATTATCCAGCCCAGTATTCATATTTTTGAGAAAACACGAAGCTAAAAGCACTTGCTACCTACCTCTTTTGTCAATGTGAAGTATATAAAAATTGAGATCAATAATTCTAGAACATCAGGCCTATCATGATTTATTAGAACCGTAGAGATAGTGTGAATAATTTCTATCTGTGCAAGATGATATCCTTTCCACCTGAAGTTGTATGTGCAATTCTTCATTGCTCAGGTAAGGTTGTATAGACTTAGTAATTACCTGCATTGATCATCTCCAGCGTCACTGTGTTTTTGTGTAACAAATAGATGTCTTCTTAACTTCCATGTAACCAAAGACTTTGTTTTGTCCATACTCAGAGAAGTACTCGTCAGTTCCTCCAGCACCACAACTTCTGAGAGTCAAGATCCTTCTTCTGGGGACCCTGCAGTCAGTGCACTTCAACAACAGCTGCTACTAATGGTGGCTCGGAGGACCCAGTCAGAGACCCCTCGGGTATGTTCCAGCATTACCATTTGTTAATGTGCAGGACACAGGGATCTATAAGCTTCTTTGCTACCAGGCAATAAAAAAAGGACCTAACAGAATGAGTCAGGTCTTGCCCTGAGTTCTTTGTGTCAGGACGCGGATTGTGATCTCCCTTTAACGACAAAGAGACTCCAGAGACTGCAGATACCAAGCAAGGTTTATTGTAAGACTGGCTAGCCAGGGTCAAGCCGCCTACACAGACACGCAGGTCAGATAGGTCAGGCAAGACCCCGAACTTCTTCAAAGGGGATCTTATATAGGCCTTCACTGGCCGATACAGCAAAGCCCACGCATTTCATAGCCAATAGATTTGTAACAATATATACTTTCTTAACCAATCCATTTAAAAGTACATCACTCCTTAGCCTATAGATTCAAAGATCAGCATTTATGTACATAGGCATTGTGGCTAGTGGGCATCTGGTAACTCGAACATTTGGTTATCACCTGGCTCTCTTAGATTTGGTGGAAGCTGATAAGGGCAAAGTTCCTAACAGAGGTAATAGATAAGAAAGGGCCAACAAATGGTTTCCAAATTTACATCCCAGCAGGGAAGAGTCAACAAATGGTTTCAGAATTTACATCCCAATAAGGAAGGGCTTCACATCTAAGGCTCTACTAGGGAGGGGGCCAAAAGAGAGAGTTACTAATTAGTAGAGTTTTAACTCTGGAATCTCCCTCAGGGTCCCAAGGGAACTTACTGTATGTTGCTGGGCTCAATTCTATCATTACATGGAATGCCTTGGATGGGCATAAAAAGAAGTCACTTATAAAAATAAAAATAACAAAAGAAACTATTTAGAAAACTGATACCCTTCACTGTTACTAGAAAGTTTGATTTCGAATCACTCATTCAAACACGTTAAAAATTAGTTTGCATTGTTGTTTATTGCCAGAATGCACAAATTCCACAACAGCACCTAGTTAAGGGGAGACCCCTTCCCATAGTTCAAAAAATACCAGATTTTATTTTATAAATCAACTTAGAGATTCTGAAAATGTTTTGAGATGTTTTATTCTAGGAGCAAATAACTATCATCAAGAGACTTAAAATATGAAACTTCGCATTTTTTAACAAGGAGTTAACTTATTAATATTCATTAATTACTCAAGGATCAGAGAGATAGCACAGCATGTAGGGCACTTGCCTTGTATGCAGCCAACCCAGATGTACTCCCCAGTACCTCAAATGGTCCCCTGAGCCTTGCCTGGGCACAGACAGAGTCAGGAGTAAGCCCTAAGGATGGCCATGTATAAATTCCTGAACCAAAAGCAAAACAGAAATATTAGTTGATCTTTAATGATACCCTTTGAGAGGCAGAATATAAAACTCAAAGTGAAAGATAACATGGGGGGAAGACATAGATCTAGGTGTGACAGATACAGAGCTTAGAGTGACAGATTAAGTCTTGGGCAGTTTGGAGGAAGAGGACGGTGTGGATGGTGGAAGTTTCATAGGAAAAAGGATGCCTGAGCTGTGCCTCAAAATAAGGAGTATTTATTACAAACTGAGGGAAGACTATCGCAGATGGTATGTTGTTGTGTTAGTGTGAAATTTATTGCTGTCTTTGCACTTTTCTCTGGGCAATACTTCTAAACAAAGTATTACTTTCTTTGATTGCTTCTAAAGAATCTTGCCCTTGGACAAAATATACTTATTATTGCTTAAGCAAAATGTCCCAAAAGATGTTTTCTGGCACAGTTGATTGACATTTCTATGCTGCTGGTCAGATGCTCTTATTGTTGTTACATTATCTTCAAATAGAAGGAAGCTATAGAATTGGCATTTTCTCGGAGAAACTTGCAGTTTTCCTGACACAAGCTTGGAGGAATTTCATCTCCCTGTTCTTCGTTACTTCTAGAACATCAATTTGGAACCTCAAAGTTGTGGAACTTTATTTAAAAAGATCTATATAATTGGGACTGAAGAGATAGTATAATGTGTAGGGAACTTGCTTTGCATGCAGCTGACCAGAATTCTGTCCCCGATACTCCATATAGGCCTCCTTTCTCCACTACGAGCAATCCCTGAGCACAGAGCTAGGAGTACTCCCTGAGTACTGCTGGTTGTGGTTCCCAAACAAAAAAAAATCTAGATAATTTGGGAAGGTGTGATGTTATTTATTCCATGATTCTCAGTGGTAAGGGAAAATTGGGAGTCAGAGATACAAACACATTGATTTAATAACTCAAAAACATTGCTGGTAGAATAGATATTTAGAAACAAGTAAATACTCAATGGATAAATTAGAAAGTCACACTACACATTTTATCTTTAAAATTCTGTCAGAGACATCGCCTTCTTAGCGCAGTAGGCAGCGCGTCAGTCTCATAAAATTCTGTCAGAGATATGATCACATTAGTGAATATAAAAAGTTTTAACTCATGAATTGTTTTACTGTTACTCAAACATGAATCAAGTTTACTAATTTTGACATTTTTGTATTTTGTTAATTAAATTTTTTTAATTATATGTAGCTACAAAGATAGAAAAGTAAAGATTACTCCTAGTCTTATATTTAAAGACTAAGTAAACATTTTCAAATGTATCATGTTGGAAGCAAAAAGGATTGGAGGGAGACAGAAAGAAACTGTGTCTGTTGTTCCTGCAACATAGAGGTAAAAGAGCAGTGATGTGCACGTTGGTTTTTCAGAAAAGTTCAGCAAAACTGAGGGGAAAATAGGAGTCTGCAGACAAGACTTAATTACTCCCTTTTCACATCCATCTTCCTTCTGTCCTTTATAGCTGAGTGTAGTACTGGTTTTCTAGGGGTCTCCCCACCACAGCTTTATGGCTATACTTGTCCTGCTAGCAGAGCTGAGGTTCTACTGGGTCCAGAAGAGATCAGAAGTTGGTCTGATCAAATAAATGCTTGTCTGAAATTCTTCCCTGGCATAGGCCAAATGTGGGAGCACTGAAGAAAGTTGTTTGGCAAGGGAAGTCCCAAGTAGGATGGATCCTCTTTATTTTAGACAGATGAGTGGATGAGTCTTTTCCCTCATCGTTGCTACAGAAAAAAGCTCCTGAGCACTATGAGAAGAACAGAGTCTGAGTGTAGGATAACTTTGGTTTGTCCTTCCTGCATAGCCTCAGGTAGTTTAGGTTTATTGGTTACTCTCATCATAGTGCTCCCATTCCTCTGTGTTTATTTGTAACCTCTTTGTTTGTGTTCTGTTGACTTGTAAATATTGTTTTTCTCTTCTCCTTACATCCTTTGCATAGTTTATTCAGAGCAATGTCCTTTTTGTATGGACATAAGAAGACGGTAAATGCTGTGCTTTTGTAACTTGGGAGTTTATTGATTCTCAGTGATATTTTTCCTCCTGGGCATCTGTTCTCTTGACCTAAGCCTCAGTTGCCCTTACTTCCCAGCACCCCCCAAATCAGTGTCCCGACAAGGGACTAGATGGACCCAGGGCAAGCGGTGAGCTATGTGCTGGCATTGAGATGGGCCTGGCCAAAGTGCCTAATGCTTAACTATAGGTTAAGAGCTAGGTCATGGACAAATGTTGTTATGATCCCAGCTAGATTCGGACCCTGCTAGGGTTCACGATCACGATCACGACCACCCTGTTGTTCGTCGATTGCCTCGAGCAGGTGCCAGTAACGTCTTCTTCGTCCTAGCCCTGAGATTTTTTTTTTTAAAGTGCCATATTCAAGGCTTTTTCAGGGTTAGGAGAATGAGACCCATCATTGTTACTGGTATTTGGCATCTTGGGTATACCACGGGGAGTTTGCCAGACTCTGCCGTGTGGGCATATTACATTTGGTAGCCTGCCAGTTTGACCAAATTAGGAATGAGATGATAAGATGTCGATCCTGGCCATTGTTGGAGTTATACGGCAGTTGGTGGGTGTAACTGTCTAGTTACTGGCAGGTCCAGTCCCAAACTGTGCAGGCTTGGAGATCTCAGCCCCGGGTCCCACACACCTGGGTTCCTCTGTCAGTTCTTTTATGCGTGAGGCTCATCCAAGTGTGTGGAGAGTGGTCCCAGCATGGCCTTGGCTGGGCCTCGGTGGTCTTCAGCTGTTGGGCCCTGGTGGAGACAGTCAGGCATAGGGTAGGAGACTCTGCCTTGTTCTCTCCCAGGAGCTGAGTGTGATGATCTCTGGATCCTGGCCGTTGTTGGAGTTACACGGCAGTTGGTGGGTGTAACTGTCTAGTTACTGGCAGGTCCAGTCCCAAACTGTGCAGGCTTGGAGATCTCAGCCCCGGGTCCCACACACCTGGGTTCCTCTGTCAGTTCTTTTATGCGTGAGGCTCATCCAAGTGTGTGGAGAGTGGTCCCAGCATGGCCTTGGCTGGGCCTCGGTGGTCTTCAGCTGTTGGGCCTGGTGGAGACAGTCAGGCATAGGGTAGGAGACTCTGCCTTGTTCTCTCCCAGGAGCTGAGTGGGTTAGGAAAGATTAATCTGGCCTGAGCTCTGTAGTCTGAGTCTGTGGCAAGATGTTCCCAGGAGAGCTGCCCTACAAGTCTCAATGTTATCTCTTACTGTGTCCATACAAAAATAGCTAGTATTGATATGTTGATAGTATTAAGTTGTTGACAGAGTTATTGGACTGAGAAAAGGAGGAAAAACACCTTAAGAGGTATTTTGCCTTTGGGCAGGCAGGAAGGGCTTTGGAATACCTCTAAGTGGTGTTTCTGCCCTTGAGCCTGATGGGCAGTCAGGAAGGGCTTTCTTAGGTTGATACTGGGCCCTGAGGTTTAGAGCTGAAGAAGAGAGAGAGAGCGGGGCAGCAGGAAGGAGTGTGGAAAGACTAGCAAGTGGAACAGAGAGGGAAGAATGTAGAACACAGCAGCAGTCACGTGGAGAGAGAGAGCCCAGGAGAGAGAACCCAGGCTGCGACATAGAGCGCAGAGAGATGAGCTGGAGAGAGAGAGAGGAAGAGGAGGAGATAGGAATGAGGAGCAGTGTGAGACTAGAATGGGAGGCTCAGAGAGACTGGAGCAGGCACTTGGGGGA